TTTATCGGCCCCAGGTTCTTAGATGAGCATTTTCTGCTCGTTGTTGACGTGGCTAGTAAGGTGAGCTGCAGGATTTTGACTTGGACCAGCAGGTTCAGGTCTGTGTATGATCAGTTGCAGAGATGTAAATTAAGCTCCTATCTTAAGCCAGAAAAAAAAAATCCTTCTTGAAAAACATGATCCACGCTAAATTTTGGGGTGACACATCAACTGAGATGAGCGATGTCTTTGAGGGCATTCCAGTCTTTTTGAAGGGTTTCTTCTGTGGCATTTGAACTAGCCCTGAAGATCAGCCTTTAGTTAGTGTGTTGGGTTGTTCATCTCATAGAGTAAACTAATTTAAATTGGTTCAGAGAGAAACAGTGACAAGTTGTTGCTTGAATGCTTCATGGGGTCTTGGTAGAACGAGGCAGTCGCACATTGAGGGTGGAGCAAAGAGTGTGTTTCTCTCTGGCTGCATCTGACATGGAAGCAAATGTGGAGGCTCATGAGGCTGCTCTGCAGATCAGACCCTGGAAAGAAAATCCCATCTGTGCCAATCAGATTGTTCTTAATGTGCTTAGTCTCTGTGAAACTCAGAAGTTACTTCCACCTGTAATTTTGAAATTGCTTCAGTAAAGCAATTTAGTATTGTTTGATGGACCAGCAAAATAATATTCTTTACTTCTCAGTGAGTGAAATCTCTTTTCATCTAAGCCACTGACTAAACACCAAGTCTGGCTGTGGAAATTCATGGAGCTCAGTTTTCTGTGGCCAGGATTTCACCCTTGAACTCCTCTTCAGGTAATGTTGTTACTTTTGAAAGAGCAGAGCAGATTGCGTGTTTGTGGTTAAATGCAGGAAGGTCACCCAGGCTGTGGTAACATGAGTGGCTCCAGTTATTTAAATGTCAGTAACCTGCTCTGTTCTGAAATATTGTTAGGGAATAGCTGGAAGACTACAGAATATTGAGCTAATTAAACAAACAAACCAAAAGCAAAAAGGAAGCTGAAGTCTGTTGCGTTACCTAGCAAATGTAAAATAATGACATTTTAGTTTTGGGCTGTTTCATTACAGCATCTGTTTGTTACCCAGCATGCAGGATCATGTCACTGACAGTAAAATGTAGGAAGCTTTAATCTCATGATCAGTTTCTGTAACTGTCTGTTCTCATAATAAAGCTTCCTGTCCTTATGAGAGGTTTGGGAGGGTTTTTTGTTTTGGTTTTGTTTGGCTGGGTTTTTTTTTCTCTTCATGAGACTCTACAGACTCAGCCATGAGGGAACTAGGGAAGAGGAACAGATCTTGGCTTGGAAAGTGCACCCTGTGCATTTGCATTGGCAAAAATAGAGTTTGCAGATGATTTTTGCTGTTGAAGCAGCAGTGCCCATGGCTGCTGAGGGGCTCAGAGGCACACACTGGTGCAGAGGTCAAGTAATACCCATCCTTACACTTAAGACTTTTTCCTAGTGCAAAAAATTATACAAGCTGTGCAGTAGTTAACATACTGAAAATATAATTTTACCTGATATGGTAGGAATGGATAGCAGCTTTTAAAGAGGCTCCAGCAGCAGCCTTGGTGTTATTCTGTAATACATTTATTTCAGTGGCTCATTTCAATATTCAGGTTCTTGTGTGTATTGCAATTGCTAGGAGTGCTGTGCTGCAAGACATAGGATGTTCAGCACTTTTGGCAGGACCATGCGGGGGGAAAAAAAGACCATTTTGGCCATATTTTTTTTTCCCCCTTGATAAATGTGCAGGCACTTCTCTTCATGATTGAAATAACTTTGAGCTTGTAATGTCACATGTGATATCCTCACAGGTACCTTCAGCTTGCGCAGATGTTATCCTCACACACTGCAAATTGTTTGCAACTGTAGTAATAAGGAAGCCAAATTTAAGAAACAGAAATTACCACACTGAAAAGCAGGAATCTGAGATGACTACACTGAAAAGCCTCTTGAGTTGACTGCATTTTGTGAGCTTGTGTGTTCTTGTCCATTCTCTTGGCTTTGGGCTTGGAGAGCTGGGGAATTGGGATTGGCAGTTCAGCAAAACACATGCTTTAATTTAAATTTCTGAGTGTTTGAATATTATGTTAACCTTTTAGATTCCATTTGTGAGTAAGTTATGTCTGTCATGAGGCTGATGAGTGAGCAGTGCCAGAAGTGCCTTAACTTTGCCATCAAGCCACTGAAAGGGAGCAACTCAGCTTTGAAGCAATGAAACAGAAGTTCATTGCATCTTTTTTATAATGTTATTCTGTTTATTTTCTGGGTTGCATGCTAGTTGGGGTGTTGGTATTTCTGAAACAGAACCCCCTTTGGGCTGCTTGTTTAAAACTTTAAATCTGTTAACCTTTAGGTATTATCTCCTTGTCATCTCAGTTTTGCAACAGTTTCCTGGTTCTGCATCAAGTGAGGTGAGAAGGGTTTATGTGAGCCACAATTTGAGCTGTACAATATTTAAGTTTAGGTATAGACCATTTCAGCCAATGTGGTGGCAGGAAATAAATGATGTAGTAGCAGAAGAGGAAAAATGAAGGCAAATTTTGCACAGTTAATTACTCTTCCTACTGTGTTGTAATGGATTATGTAGCTTTTTCAAGCAATTTGTTAGATGTGATCATACAGCTTGAAGATCTTAGTGAAAAAAAGGAGTAGCTGAGGCATAAATTACTGCACATGTCTACTACATGTTGCATACAGTTTTTATTTTAACATCATTTTTGTTCTTTGGAAGATTTAAGTGATTATCATAATGCAAATGGCTCACGTAATTGTCCCTTCACATCATTAATTAAAGCACTTGTATTCTTTTGTTCTTTGGATTTTCAGGGGGAAAAAAAGCCCATTTTGTATCAAAATAAATCCTGTGTTGCAGTCTAGATTGCTTAAACTGTTTTCCTCTAAAAGTGGTAACATTTGTATGACTAATTAAAATAAAGTGCCTTTTATCAGCTTGCAAGCTCTGCCATTCAAATTTATTTAGAAATTCTTGTATAAATAAACCATGCAAGTGTATAACCAGCCTAACATGTTAGTATCTTTCAGTTTGAAGCATTGCCAACTACAGATTATATGGCATAAGACTTAAGGCAATAGAGAAGTCAAGGCAAATCCTTTCCTAGGGATCAAGATTGTAGGGACAAAGATAAATAGCACTTCATGCTGTAGAATTGGAATTTTATATTGGCAAAAAGAAAGTTAAATTACAACGTGATGTAAATATCTGTGTTCCTTTCTCCCACAAAACAAAAGTAACAAAGAATGTAATTTAAGCTTTCTAAAATCATCTGAATATTCAAGACATGAATGAGTTTATTGAAAGGGGATAGGAGTGAGTGCAGCTGGATGCTAAAATGGCAATTTTGATTCATCACTTTTTGATGGTCATTATTGAAATAGTTCGCATTGAGTTCTCTGAATGAGTCACAGAGAAATCTTTAAATCACAGCACCTACCTGAGGTGAAACAGAGGAGCTGTGCTTATGAAAATGTGCTTTTACTCCTTCCCACAGTCCACAGATCTCACTGAAAATTTTCCTCCTGTGTTGCAGTCTCCTCGTTTCCCCACCCAGCCCAGAGCATCAGTGTCACTGCTGTTAACATCTCCCTTTCTTCATAATTGAAATGCCACTTGCTTTTGGAGCTGGTGACTTTTAGCATCACTGGGTCATAATTATTGTGGTTGGAGTTTGACCTGGACTGAAATTCTGCATTAGGGTTTATAATTGGTTTATCAGTTTTGCAAAGACAGATGTTAATGGGCAGTCATTTTTTTCCTCTCTTTACCAAGCTCTGCCTGTGATCACAAATTTGATTTGCCTCTTTTCTGAAAGACTGTTCAGCTTTCTTAAAACCAAACCCTGATGGAAGGAAATGTCATTCACTCGCTTCCTCTGCCAGGTGGTTTTTTCTCTTGAGGTTTCCCAGCAGCACAAGGATCAAACCTGCTGTCCAGCTGGAGATGTGAAATAAGACAAGCTTGTGGTTTGGGTGCTGTGTTGCATACATAATGTGCAATGGTTTAAAGGAGAGATGGGGGGGTAGGGAGAAGCAACTCTTGGGCCCCCCTAAAATCCCACTTTGGAAAACAGAATTGCCCCACTCAGATTTTAAAGCCCTAGTCTGAAAACAAAGCTCCATAATCATCTGTCTTTAGATCTGAAAGTGATTTATAATTCTGTATCAATGGCCTTTTCAGACTCATATATATTAGTTTATTCCTAAACTCTACTATCCTGTAAAGATTTTAGAATAAAAATGTTCTTATTTCAAATGTGCCAGTTGTTCCTGGCTGAGCCTTTCTGGAATAGGCACTGTCCATCTTATGTTTGGGAGCTGCTGCTGAGTGTTACAGTCTACTCTTGTAAAGAGCCACCATGGGAAAGCTTATCTCAGGCAAAAAGAGTTTCTTTTAATGCTTTATGTAGAATTTTAGAAATCTGTAGGTGGAAATTCCCATGTGAAAAACTTAAAGCCCTTCAAAACTGGCAAAGAGGTGTCTTGTATTCATTTGGTTTGGAGTACAAAATAATATGCATATGATTATTATTTTTTTTTTTAAAAAAAAATCTATTTATTAATTCAATGAATGAAGCAATGAATGTTTAGTCAAGAATCAAGGAACTGCTTCCAGATTTTCCCAGTAAGGATTAACATCTGACGTAGTCGTGTCATTGCTTCAGCAACTATGGGGTCCTTTATCTGCTCTCACATGTTATGTGCATTTCATTTTTTCCTACAGAGAGGGCTTTGTTTGGAAGGGCAGCCTAACTGGATCTGTGGGTATCAGCTCTACTGGAAAATGTGGGTTTCTGACAG